TGTGTATGTGTGTGTGTGTATATATATATATATATATATATATATATATATATATATATATATATATATATATTAATCTACCAGGCCGCGTGCGTGATGCACACGAGGACAAGGAAGAGGAAGCGAGCGAATGGCCGTCACGTCCGTCATCAAAATGCGCTTCGTCGCGCCATTGTTACGCGCCGACAACGAAGTTTCGCAGTTTCGATCCGCGGCACGACGGGAACGCTCGCAGAAGAGTCAAACTCGATCTCGTCCAAGTCAGTGCCGAACTGCGAAAGCGCTCTTCCGCTCGCTGTTCGCCAGCACTGCTCGAAGAGAGAGTCCATCCTACTATCTCGTTCGTTCCCCCGACGCCGACCGACGGCTGTTCAACGGCAAAGCCAATGAAGGGCGACGAGCACGTTGCGGATTTCACAAAGCTCGGCGGTTTTGACAAAGCTGCCCGCGTTTCCTCCGCTGTCCCGTTTCTACGAATATCCTGCGAGATGTTACAGGGTAAACGCGTGTTCCTGCATGCGTGCTGCAGAACATCCCCACGCTCCCTCGTTACGATCACGTAGCGAACGGCAGGTGGATCAGCAAGATCAGACGGGTAATTACGCGCATTACCATCAATTACGCACTCGTCGTCAACAAAGCTGTAATACATCGATCGAGAGAGAAAGAGAGAGAGAAAAGCGTAATCTAAATGTAAAGTCCTCTCACCACCTTCTTCTTGTATCCACTTAGGGAACTAAGTCTAACGATTATCGAGCGAATTCGACGGTCACTAGAGACATACGTGACCAAAGGGATGTTTCAATAATTGCTGGCCGTACTCCCAATGATCGTAGGAGCCATCGGCTCGGTAATTGACAGATATCCGTGATCAACGAGTACGTGCTCGCGGTCGAGAATGGCCCGATCATGATGATGTCCCCGCGGGGAAATTCCGCTATTCCCAGAATAGCGCGAAACGCGGGGAAACTCTCAAGGTTTACATCCCGCCCGAGTGTGTGTCTCTTCCTCATCGCGTAATCGTCCACGGCGAGATTATAAACACAACGTGTGGGCGACAATGCACTTGGTATCCTACGATCTCGAGAATCGCGGAGAGTCAGGAAAACGGGACGCGAGGCGCGACCACGGAATTCTTAACGAGGTATTGCGACAGCGATGATTGGATTACGTCTTGGCAGCCTCGAGTTGTACCAACAGGCAACAACGTTCGCTGCGGGTTGGTCACCACACTACGCGCTCTACCGACTCATGACTCCTCCCGCATAAACAAACAAACGTATAATCGCATCCCGCTTTCCCAGCACTCCCCGAGGCTCTTCGCACAACGTACAAGCGACTCGGACGTACCCAGGTAGGTGCTGTTGGTAATAACCCAAAAGAGTTTTAGCGGATCAACCATTAAACCACGTTCATCACACAAACGAGCCGGCCCGATGAAAGCGACGGACCCAGAACCCGGTGTTGGCCGGTAGTGTTGATCACTTATGGAGGGCACACACACTCTTCTACTCCTTCACCTCTCTATATATCCCTCTATCTCCCTCTACCTCTATCTATCACACACGCCCTGGCACACACAGGACGTTTATCTTCGCACCGAGAGACCGGCGCCGCACGCACAGGCACAGGTACAGGTACACGCGTCACTGAGATATATTCGCCACAATCTCACGAGCACGTTCGCTACGCCACTGTCCCTCTCTCCGTCGCTGATCCCGCCGAGGCAAGCTCCGACGATTCCTCTAGCTTCCGGCACCGCGCGCTTCTCGCATCACCCGCTCCCATCCGCTTCTAGTGTTCCCGCCGCGGTCGGATCGCTGGCGGTTTTTCACGCGGTGGCGCGCGTTATCTCGCGACGGGCCGACTGACGTATCGGTACGTCCTGCGTACGTCCTGTCATCGACATGTTTTTGTCGCGCTGCGTATGTATCCCTCGTCCGTTCGCGGCGCGCATACACGTGTGTATGTGGGTGCTCGCGGCGCCCACGACGTGCAGAAACGGTCCGGTGGGAGAGAAGAGCGGCCGAGAAAGGGAAGAAACAGAGAGAGAGAGAGAGAGAGAGAAAGAGAGAGAGAGAGAGAGGAGTGCGAGCAACAGACGAAGAGTCGCGCGGATGCGAGAGCTGGAGCAAGAAGAACAGAGACAGAGAGGGCGACGGAGGGTTGATAGACGGTAGGAGGGAGCCCGACGGCGTCGGCGTCGACGACGACGCGGTGGTGGTGGCGGTGGCGATAGTGATGGTGGAGGCAGTGGTGGTGGCGGTGGCAGCGATAGCAGCAGCAGCAGCAACGGTGGTGGCGGTGGCAGGACTCTACGTGGGGCAAGCACGACGAGGCACGACTCGCGCGGACGGCTACGTGCGATACGTACGCAGAGAAAGCAATGGGTATATGGAGGCCGCCGGCCGGGGCCCAGATTTGCGCAGCCGCGCCAAATCAGTCGGGGGCGCACAATCCACCCTCAGTCAATATACTGTGTCACCGCGTAACACAGAACGCGGAATCGCCGGAATGCGGTCTGCTTATAGGTGCACACCTGCCCACGTAGGGGCGAGACGCGCGAATCGGAGCGGACACGGAGCGTACTTGATGCGTGTCCGCGCAATGTCGACGCGCGTGCGACACACGAGCGACGATACCAGCCGCGGTTCTGGCGGTCGGTCGCGCTATGACAGGATGCAATTGATGAGCTAAGTGGGTAATGGTGGTGTGTCGCGCTCGCAAAATATCGATGTCCCCTGCACTTTCGCGTAAACCACCCGTAAAACACCCTCGCATTCCCCAACTGACGAATAATAAAAACGTCTCGCACGTTTTAATTATTTGTCTCTCGAGTTGAAGGCTAATAGGATATTTTTATTCTTGCTCTCTCTCCCTCTCTCTCTCTCTCTCTCTCTCTCTCTGTCTCTCTCTTTCGCTCTCGCTCTCTAGGGACTGACGATGTAGTAAAGGATCCAATACACTTGGCGGCAAAGCTATGATCTCTTACCACTAGATCGCTGAATAGGAACAAGTGGCTTTTCTTAGACAACTAGCCCCGTGCGCCGACGATCTTTATCTAGTTCTCGTTCTCACTAGTTCCCCGATTACTCCAAAACCATTTCGAATAGTTGCGCACCTTGTTCTCTCGCGGACGGCTTATGCACGTGCTTCGACTCGATGCGGCCAACGCTCGGTTGAAACTCGGAGATTCAGCACTTCGGCTCTCTATCTCTCTCGACGTGTCCCGCGCTATTATGAATTTGCGAGCGCGTTTCTTATTCTCGAAGAGAAATGTAAATAGAAGATGCGATTCGTAATGTGTCTCTCGCTATGTAACTAGCGGATGAAATCTCTCTCTCTCTCTCTCTCTCTCTCTCTCTCTCTCTCTCTCTCTCTTTCTCTTTCGCGCTTTTTCAGGCAAAGAAAATATCGCGCTGTCGCGTCCTCGAAATGAGAACAGTCTATCTCTCGGATAAGTGCCAATGCTCCGCGTCAGTTGATGTATCTCACGAAAATAGAGAGAGAAAGAGAGAAAGAGAGAGAGAGAGAGAGAGAGAGAGAGAGAGAAAGAGCAACGTTCTCTCTTCTGAAAGATTCAATTCTCGAAAAGGATCCATGTTCTCGTCGTAGTTTCCAACAATTTTTTCCGAGACTAGCCACGGTAGTTAAACGTCGAAGTTGAAACTCGACTGAAAGCGAAGTTCATGTAAAATTAATGCGGGGATATCGTTAGTTATATACAACTTGAAAAATTATTTCTTCAGTTGCAAAGTTCAGCTCCTGCTATTAAATATTCCCTAAAGAGATATCACGAATTTGCGTCGAAATTATTTGGCGCGATAGAGAGAGAGAGAGAGAGAGAGAGAGAGAGAGAGAGAGAGAGAGAGAGAGAGAAAGAGCAACGTTCTCTCTTCTGAAAGATTCAATTCTCGAAAAGGATCCATGTTCTCGTCGTAGTTTCCAACAATTTTTTCCGAGACTAGCCACGGTAGTTAAACGTCGAAGTTGAAACTCGACTGAAAGCGAAGTTCATGTAAAATTAATGCGGGGATATCGTTAGTTATATACAACTTGAAAAATTATTTCTTCAGTTGCAAAGTTCAGCTCCTGCTATTAAATATTCCCTAAAGAGATATCACGAATTTGCGTCGAAATTATTTGGCGCGATAGAGAGAGAGAGAGAGAGAGAGAGAGAGAGAGAGAGAGAGAGAGAGAGAGAGA